GAAATCAGGCCAGCGAGAGTAAAAGGCATTTTACGCTACAGACCCCAAATTCGGTTTTCAGGGTTAAAAAGTCCCCAACTTGAAGTCGAAAAAGTCCAAGTCGGCCAGATTAAGAAAGGTCAAGTCGGGTACCCGAGAGGTCTAGTCCAACCGGTACCCCATCATAAGTCACATCCCACAGGCAAAAGTCACGTCCCACAGTCAAAGGCCACATCCGACAGGCAAAAGTCACGTCGTACAAAATGAATTATCACACTATTGATAGAAAACATCGTTTCACTACTTTACTTGCAAATAAAATAATTTTGGATCAAAATTTCAATGAAGAAACTTTGATACAAATTGTAATCAATTTTTCAATCAAGAATAAAAAAATATGAGTAAGCAAAATCTTATAGAAATTGAAGGATTAGTTACAGAATCTCTTCCTAATGCTATGTTTCGTGTTTGTTTAGACAATGGTTGTGAAGTACTTACTCATATATCTGGTAAAATTAGAAAAATTTATATAAGAATCTTACCAGGAGATAGGGTGAAAGTGGAACTTAGTCCTTGTGATCTTACGAACAATTTTATTCCTTATCGTGAAATTGGATTAATGACTACCAAATATTTAGAAAAGAATTTGAGATGCCTTATATTGCTAATATTCCAATGGGAATAGTTGATACTTTATCTTGTATTCGAGAAATACAAAAGATTGTTTCTACACTTGAAAAACCAATGGATTTCACGTCCCACAGACCAAAAAGCAGAAGCACACCAAGGGAAAGAGGGTACCAGGCCTTCGTATTCCAAAGCAAACAGGCCTTAGGCAGCCGGTACCAGGTCCAAGTCAAGCCAAGAGAAGCAGAGGCTGGGATGAGTCAAGGCCCAGTCAAATTCAATATAGAGACTGGCCAGCCACATTTCGGACAGATTGCTCATGCGTGAGAAGTGTGGAAGTGCTGCTGAGCGCTTGTGCGCTATTTGCGAGTTGACCAGCGCTAGAACCCTTGCTGGTCAGTGCTGCACTGTGGAAGGAAGGTGGCCATAGCCGCTCAGTATAGTAGTAGGAGTAGAGATGGGAAGCGGGCGGATGTATCCAGTGTCAAGATCTTCATGTAGAGACATAGTGTGGGAGAGAGAGAGTGTGGACTCATGCGTGAGAGGGAAGAGAGAGAGAAAGGAAGTGAGACAGACAGGGAGAGTCGCCTACTTGGATGAGGATGCTGGATTTAGGTTGCTGAACTTTGCGCTGCTGAAGTGCATGGTGACTGCAACTCTGAAACTGTTTAATATGATAACTCGTTGGAATTTCTAAGCTGCGCTAATCTGGACTTTTCACCTCTGGTCTCCAGTGTGGTTTTCGTGTGAACTCTCATTGTGTGTGTGCATGGGGTGACAAGCCAAGTGGCAAGTGGTCCATTGCACAATGGGCGCAGAGGGCGAGGGGTGTGTGATCCCAATCCTGCCTCCCTTGCAAGACCCCCATATGGCTGTGAACGGCCTCCGGTGAACAGCCTTCATCGATTTGGGGGGGGGGGATGAACGGCCGTTCACCCGACCATGAACGCCCCCGTTCACGTTCAGGGGGGAGACACTGCCACTTGCCATCTCTTTCTCTCTGCTTCCCTACTGGTGCTCCATTGTCTCAGAGGAAGTGGAAAGGCCAGGTTTGGGCAACTTTTATATCCGATGGTAGACCTGCCAGTTCACCTGAAGCACAATTGGGCTCTTACAGGTTCATGTTGTAAGAGCTAATCTATCCGGGGCTTATTCGGGCCTGGTAGTGAACACGATATGGCAGAGTTCCAGGCTAAGGACCCTAGAACAGCCGTTATGCAACGATCCACTCAGATTCACACACCACACAACATGCACAAATTGAATGAAAGTTTACATGAAGGTTGACACCGAGACCAGGTATGGGAACACCAGATTAGCGCATCTTAGGACACTTCAATGAAAGCTCTATATTCAGAGTTCAAGCATCCAACCTCATCAGCGCAGCAACCAACAGCCATAAATCAGGTACTTACCTTTTCCTCATGTGACTCTTCTGTCTCGCCCTCTTGTTGCCTAGCTCTCTCTCTTCTCTCTCTTCTATCTCTCCTCTCTCTGGGTTGAATCAATCTGCCTCACGAGTGCTCACGTGTGCACGTACATTTTAGTGGTAGTCATCAATTGGCTGTTTTGAGTAATAGAGGTTGATATCTGTTTCATCATGTGAGCTGTGTAATAGTAGTATGGTGTGTAGGTGGGACACTCGACCCGGTTTCCAGACCAGCCTATTCTGGGTAGTGGCCCCAGTTACAGGGTTGAGATGTGGAGGGATTCCCGGCCTCCTTCGTCAGTTTCTCAATCAATAGTTGAAACTAGCCATAATAGTAGGTAGATACGTTCTGATGTGTGCACTACCTCGGCCTGTGGAGTGTGTTGATTGCCGTGTCTGTGGTGCCGTGTTGTGTGTGTGTGGTGTGAGTTCAAGGACGCTACAGCCCTGTGGGTGGGCTGGATATCATGGGCGGTATGGATCCAGTTTTGATAACATCTCCAAGGGTTGTAGTGGTTAGAAGACTTCGTTCTTGAGGCTGAGGGTTCCTGTCTGAGGCTGTGCGTGCACGGCGGGGCCTGATGCCCTAAACGCAGCTTGTTCAGTAAGTGCTGATGTGTGCACTACCTCTGCCTTCCGAACCATCATTCCTCATGTTACCATCTCCTCTTTTTATGTGTTTTTCTTTTATAAATGTGCCCACAGGGCCGGAGGGGTCCCCTGTCTAAGGGGCTCGTTAGACACTCCTCGGGGACATGATTTCAAGGATTTTGTCTTCGTTCCACCTGTGCTCGGAGATGAAATCGAAAACGAAAATGTGAAAACACTCCAAGGACAAATCCTTGGGTTCCAAGGATTTCCCAGCCAAGTCATCCTTGGCTCCAAGGGACCTCATGAGGCCCCTTGGAGCCAAGGATCCACGTTTCACGCAGAGGAGAGGGCACCCACGTAGAGAGACGTTGAATCCGGATCATGGCGGCACCCTATTGGCTGAAAGCCTGAAGCACAACTGTTTTTCTTTTTCTTTTTTTTTTGTTTTCACCGAAAACGCTCCAAGGACAAAGCTGACACTCCAAGGATGAGTCCATTGATACCGAAAATGCTAAATTTTTCCAAGGATTTCGTCCTTGGGCCCAAGGACGCTCCGAGGAGTGTCTAACGAGCCCCTAAGTCTTAGGCGTAGTGGTAGGTAGGTAGTGAAGGTGAATTGAAAGAATTTGAAGGATGATGAAAGATTCGAGAGAAGAATATAGCAGAGTTTAAAAAATCTATGTATAAAAGAAAAGACTTCGTTTTTGCAGACCCTCTGGGGTACCCCCAAAAAGTTCAGAGAAATGGGAAAACTGTCAGTTTTACTACTGTACTTGAACAGGATTTGTTCTGTAGGTCCTCCACTTTCCTGTATCTACGGATACAGGCGACTCACTCAACCTGGATGATGAGCGGAGACCTCCATCTCAGAGCGTGAATACTAGGCAAGGGGAGATGGCTCCTGTCTACTGTGTTTTCTGAACTTTTCTCCGGGGTTTTCTCTTTTTTTTTGAGAAGTTGTCACTTTATATTCCAAGGTAGTGTGAGGTGAAATTGAGAGAAGAACATAGCTTTTTCTGGAAAAAAAAAAAAAAAAAAAAAGTGGCTGAGGCCGGAGACCTCACAATTCAACCCGGGCCGAGGTCCCACTAGCAAAGAGGATCGGATAGAATGCCTGAATCTGGATGTGTTTTATGCAGAGATGCAGAAAAGCAGTTCAATCTCCAGTTCAATCTCCAGTTCAATCTCGATTTCCTGCACTCTCTACAAACACGTCCAGATGCAGTCATTCTATCCGATCCTCTTAGCTAGTGGGACCACGCCCCCGGAGTCACCAAGAACCTTGCTGGAAACCGGGTCCAGCGTCCCAGGACCCTCTACTGTCAACAGAAATAAAACTTCCCAAAAAACGAGCTTGAAGCTCAATAAGGGCCGAGGTCCCGCTAGCGAAAAGGATAGGATCGAGCTCCTGAATCTGGATGTGTTTTAAGCAGAGATGCAGAAAAGCAATTCAATCTGGATTTCCTGCTCATCTCCATAAACTCGTCCAGATTCAGCCATTCTATCCGATCCTCTTTGCTAGTGGGACCACGCCCGAGGGGGGTTATCCTCTTTGCTAGTGGGACCATGCCCAAGGGGGGTTAAGTCCTCTTTGCTAGTGGGACCACGCCCAAGGGTTTTTCTCTTAACCCGGACCTGGATACAGATGATTTTTTTATTGGGGAAACTTGTCTGGCGCCCCTGTAATTTGCGTTATTTTGTGTCGCGCCCCTCCGACGGCCGATTTACCTTGTCGCGCCCCTGGGCCCAAATATATTTTCGGCAGGCCCTTGTCGGTAGTGACCGCAACTTTTCAGGACGCCCTCACGGGACTGACGGTCGGGCCCTGTGCCATATGCCCTCGTGACGGGCAGCCATCTTTCTGCAATGCCCCTACAGCCGTGAGGCACCACAAATTCGCTTCTCCATCGGGCCCTGTGCCATATCGTCCGCTTCCCTGCAAGTGTGTGTGTGTGTGTGTGTGTGTGTGTGTGTGAGAGAGAGAGAGAGAGAGAGAGAGAGAGAGAGAGAGAGAGGGTGAGTTGGTGACTTTGTGTGTGTGTGTGTGTGTGTGTGTGAGAGAGAGAGAGAGAGAAAGGGTGTCTCTCTCTCTCTCTCTCTCTCTCTCTCTCTCTCTCTCTCTCTCTCTCTCTCTCTCTCTCT